TTGGCATTCGAGGTCCAGCGGTGACTCCGAGGCCCTCGACCACCTATCTCCAAGTTTTGAATGGCCAAGCTGGTCGTCCAAACCCTCGCCCCCAAACGCTTCAGTCCAAGCATCCATCGGCAAAAAATCGGGTGCCGGATGGTGCCGTTGGCAGAGGCTGCAAAGGCTGCGAGGGATTTTTGTTGGGCGATGGATCTTTTTTTGAAGAGGCGCGGTCTCCACTGACTGAACTGATGGATGGAACAGTGCGAAGGAAATAAGAGGCCATCAATGGCTATCACCCCATCACAAAGGGACCATGGCGCTTGGTTGGATGAGGTATCTGAGGTAGCTTCTTCCTATTAGAATGCAAACCACTCATGAGAAGAACACCCTCATTTAACCTCCAAACGGTCCAAACCTATAAAGAGTGATTCAGTGCGATGCCCTCGCCGAACTCCGCTCGGCGGTCCGGAGCGAAGCGGTCCTTTTGGTTCCGGTGTTCCGTGGCCCTGGGCTGGTCCGGACATGCTGAAAGGCTGGTCCTGAAGACCTCGTGGAGTGGTTTGAGATCTTTGAATTGTTACTAGTCGTATAGCTTCCGGCTTCACCCGTAGCGATGGCCTCCGGGCCACCAATAGCGATGGCCTCCAACCCCTAGCTTCTGGACCCACGCTTTTCAGTAGAATGAGGATCCATATCGACCAAAACCGCTGTTCACTTCCAGGCGCACACTTCACCTGAGCCGGACGAGTCCGTCGTCGTTCGTCGGGGACTTGGAGGTGTCCAGGGCGAAGTCTGAATTGTTTCGACTGGAGAATGGAGGCCCTATGGATCCACTGCCACCTTCTCAGGTTCGGTAGAACTGGGCTCTCCTGGCGCCTACATAGCCTAGTCTCCTTCCTCACAGTACCGACCTGGTTCGGTATGTGGATCCATAGGGAGGGTTCTTTTTATGAAAGAACTGAACAAGAAAGTCCAGCATGAGCTGCCTGTCAGGTTGGATGTCAAAGATGTAGATCTTCTTGCCACACTATGGGCGTCATGCTGCTCCGATCCACATAGTGACTTGGGGGGCAAGCATGAACAGCCTCTAGAGGCGTCTTCAGTTTCATTCACCCCTCCCTGATCCTAATCAGGCTGACCAGCCATCATTGTCTGTTCAGCTTAAATGCGCAATTCATGGTTGAGCAACTCCGAATGGAGTCCGTAAACAGCCCTAATGTAGACGGTTGGTTGATTTTTGAAACATTAAACATCCTACACTGCTGCACTAGTGTTGAATGAGTGTTCACCGCCCTTTGCCGCACTCAACCGCTTCCCTCTGCCCCCCCATTCGCCCTTCGCAAAGACACACTTTTTGACCGAAATGCTCTGGGCAACGTGGGGCGTTCGAAGCGCTGGGCGTCAGAGATCTCTCTCCCCCCTAGTGGCTCACTGACTTGGGCGACACGCAAAGTGAACACGCCAAACACACGAAGATCTGGGTTGCGGCAAGAATTGGGCCCGTGAGAAAAAAGTGGGAACAGCAAATGACTGATAACATAGACCCTGACATCCGGTTCTAGCCCAAATCTGTAAAACACCGGGTTGGTGCACACGGGTGCTTTGAGAGCTCTGTTTTTTGCCCGACCTTTTTTCTGCGCCGTCCCGGCGGTTCTTTTGTTAAGGCAGCACGCTGACGGTGTGGGACATGAGGACAACCCTGGGCCAAGTAAAAATATAGATCAACAAAACCTGCGACTCTGCACAGTCAAAGGCCCAGAATCCTCCACATGGGACCGCCAGAATCTCTTCTTGTAGGATACACCCGGAAGAGTTCACTGCCGAAAATCGCCTCAGGTTGACGTTGGGGAGTTTCGGTCTTTCGCCCCAGGTTGACGTCCGACATCTGATGAGAACGACCGATCCCTGGATCCCCGCCCTGATGCGAAGGCCGACTCAAGGGCAGTACTTCGCGAAGAAGTCCAGCAAGACCTGCGACCCAAATCCCGGTGCTCCATAGGACTGGTAACACTCTGACGAACACATCACATGGAAGTGGATGGCATGGTCGACTAAGACGACTTGTCCTTTCCTTAACGGAGGGGAAAACCACTTCGTGATGTGTTCGTGTACAGACCTTAAGGGGTGAGGTCCAAGGGGTCAAGCTATAAATCGGTGGAGCATCGGAAATCACGAGTCGGCTGAAAGACGAATGACTGCCATGTCCCAGATCCAGATTTACACTCGGAACTCACATGGTTGTGGACGGACAATGGCCTCTTGGAAGACCATGAAATCCTGTAGTTTTTCCACTTCCATGTTAGTTCCAGGGAGAGTACTTTTGAGCTTATGTAAGTGTCTGATTCCATATACCCCGGGTGGTTGACAATTCCGATCCCACAGGGCGGGTTTTTCGGTGGGAATCGAATCCATCCAAATCGACGGCCAAGCAACAATGGTATTCCCATCCTTTTTGACGTGTTCAAAATGGTTCCACCATATTCTGAAACCTTCACGAACACTTGTTCACCATATAGAGTTAAATAGTCATAATATAATATATATATATATATTATATAGAGAGAGATTAGATTAATAGAGTCATAGAGTCTCTGAAACGCCACAAGTACAGCGCTGCATGTTGAGGATGCCCAGTTACTGGAGACTCCGGACACATCGTACACAACTCGCGGCTTGTCACATCCAGAAAACTCGGAGAGCCTTGCTCCCCTGCTCAGACTGGTAAAAGTTATAGCCTTCGCTCCTCAGTTCAGCCCAAGGAGCAAGTCACTTCGAGATTGCTATGCGGGATCTGTTCTTGCACCCAAATATTTGACCACAGCTTTGCTTCCATCGACCACCCGGCGCAAGGCGCAGGTTCTTGCCACGGCTCCGGTTGCGGCCTTTCGTCGTGAAGGGCATCGGTCGGTGGGGTCCCAAGAAGTGGAGCTCGTTGCGCTTCCGCTGCTCCTCCTCAAGCGGGGAACACCCACCCGCGCAGCCGCGGAAGCCGCGGCTTTCTGCGGCCATCTGTGACTTAAAACTGAGCGATTTGGACCCCACCGGAGGTATACTGTGATCATCCAGTTAGCTGGGGTAGTGGTGTTCATGACTCGGACATGATCCACCAGGGGTTAGTTCAGTCACTCTGAGAAGTGCCAGCGACCTGACCCACAACCCATCAAACTCGTGGGTCGAGATCGACCCCGATCGAACCAGAGAGATTTGTCTGAGGCATATATATAGAACTATATACCAGCATCCTCACTGCCAGGTCACCAATTGAGACCTGTTGGGGCCCAAGAACCCTCTAAAGGAGACCTGTTGCAGTCCGGAGGATGCTGGGTCATCCGACGTTCCGACGTTCCGACGTTCCACCGCGAAGCACTGTTCGACCGACCCTTGGAATCCATTTGGGACATCCCAGTGCAAACCCATGGGATGTATACCTACATCTTCCCTTGTATGTGTTTTTGTTTGGTTGTTTCGAACAAAACATCTAAACGACTAAAACTACATCAAGCAACAGAAATTAGTTGAGTTTCACAAAACGACAACAATTTTACATACGGGGTGTCTTAGGTGTTATATTATGATATATTATGATAATATTACTCGGCAGATTGCTTGGCGGGTTGCCAGAACTGTAGTGAAGCCCATGCCTTGCTACATGCCTCACTACATGCGACATGTCGACGATCCGCGACGATCTCTCCGGCAGGCTTTTGCCGAACTCCGCGAAGATGTCGGGGCAGGAGGCCCTTGGGCCGACGGCATTCGGGAGACGGACTGCCTGTGGATGCCTGACATGTGCATGTGCATCTGGGAAGAAGCACACACGTGAGCTGGATATAACTGGATTGATCTTTTTGATCTTTTTGATAGGAAAAGCAAAAGAACATGACTAGATGCACGGCCACCAGGGCTTCAGATGAATGCCAAACGTTGGCATGGATTTGGAGTATTTGGAATCTTTTTGGAATGTTTCTTTGCAAGTGTGTGTGTGTGTGTGTCAAACCCCACCAGTCAAGAGAAATCACTTTGTGGCAATCCTATCTTTTTCCGAAGTGGCTAGTAGGTTGGAGGCCATCTGCTCTTAGGTCCCTACCACATGCAACCTTTCCACCCTACTTCAAGCACATAGCCCTCTGAGGAGAGATTCAATATGATTCAATCCACTCTAGCTGTTGATGTTGCAATTGTCTACAGCGCTCTCTTCAGTCGACCCTTTGATCCGCAGCGTTTGATCCGCAACAGCAAACATAATCAAGGTAGAAAACCTCGAACTCGACAAAAGTAGGCTAAGGACTCGAGCAAACCGAGTTGCTGATCCTCACTTTTTGGTATCTGAGTCTCACCCCACCAGCCCCTC